GCTGTACTATTTTACATTAAGTTTTCTACCTAAAATGTTGGGTATTTACCCTCATTGTACTGCAGCACCTACTATTACAGTACTGACCTTCTCTTTTGTATTTTTAGGAAGCAACACTAATCGACAATCAATGTCACATGCTATTGTGCAAATGGATTTGCGAACAGGTGAACATTATTGGCAATTAGTAAGACATACTCAATAAAGGAGTGGTTCTTCGGGTGGGAACAAAGACCACTTCTCAGTACCTATGCTTTCTGGCTGATGTTTGGGTCACTTTTGAATGTTGGAGGTGGTTTCCACTCGTGGTAGAATGAGATTCTACAGACTCTTCAACCCACAAAAGTGGCTTAGGTCATGCAGCTCATCCAGGATGGCACATCAATGCAGGCTGTGACAAGAAAGATTGCGAGGCTGCAGGCGTAGTGTCCAGAGGCTGGAGGCGCTACCAGGAAACAGGCCAGTACACCAACAAGACCGCTACCTCAGCCTTTGTGTAAGAAGGAACAGGAGGAGCACCACTAGAGCCCTGCAAATTGACCTCCAACACGCAACAAATGTGCAGGTGTCTGCACAAACGGTTAGAAACTGGCTCCGTTAGGATGGCATGAGGGCCCTACATCCACAGAAGGGGGCGAAATTCCCCCATCTGTGTAAGCAGATGGCGGTTATGCTCATGGCCCAACAATGTACAGAATACTTGGTATTTGCCAAAGAAGACCAGGATCGGCAAAATGGCCACATATGACAGAGTCTGCAGACACCGCGGAGAGCGATCTGCTGTCTGCAACATCCTTCAGTCTGACCGCTTTGGCAGTGGGTCAGTAATGGTGTGGGGTGGCATTTCTTTTTAGGGCCCAACAACGGTCTATGTGCCCACCAGAGGTAGCATGATTGCCATTAGGTTACCGAGATGAGATCCTCAGACCCCTTAAGAGACCATAAGCTGGTGCAGTTGGCCATGGGTTCCTCCTAATGCAGGACAATGCTAGACTTCATGGGGCTGGACTGTGTCAGCAGTTCCTGCAAAATTAAGGCAATAAAGCTATGGAATTGCCCGCCCGTTCCCCAGACCTGATCTGATCGAGCACGTCTCGGACATCATGTCTCGATCCATACACCAACATCATGTTTTACCGTAGACTGTCCAGCAGTTGGCGGATGCTTTAGTCCAGGTCTGGGAGGATATCCCTGAGAAGACCATCCGTCATCAGGAGCATGGGGGGTCCATTTCTCTCAGGTCATACAGGCACATGGAGAAAAGAATGAAATGAAGGCTGACGTCTCAGAACTCGCCTTACTCGTAAGGTATTTGGCTGTTACTGCTTTCCTTTTGAGCTCCTCATGGTTGCCATTTGCCTGAGGTATCCCAGGCACTCCTCAACAAGATTAGATAGCATGAGATAAAATAGGTCTTCATTGATCTCACAATGGAGAAATTAACTTGTAACATTGGCTCTAGTAAACAACAGGAGTTTTAAAACAAGGAAAAGGTGCAACAAAGAAGTTAGTATACAAGGTCAGGCAAAAACAAATATACAATTAAATGTTATTTAATAAAATACAGTGAATATGTAAAAAATAAAGAATAGAGATGCAATAAAGACCCTTTTGTGTGGATTACTTTTTCTCTTTTTCACCATCCGGCCACATTTCTCCAGCCTTAATGACATTCCTATGTTGGTGCCGTAGATCCTGGTGGTGTCTTGTTAAATGTTTGGACAGAGCATCTCCTTGATATATACCACATTTGATGGAGATTTTCAAAGGTGGCTTGAAATTTGCCTGATGGGTGGGTTTCCACGGCCTCAAAAAGTTTGCGATATAGGCTCTCAAGGTGTTGTTGACTTATCCTTGTATTTCAAAATGTTAATTTTAACCATAAACATGAACCCAGTGCCAAAAGGCTTTTTAAAAAACCTGACCACAGCATTATATATCTTGCACCGTATTTAACGGTTTGTATGTGCCTCTTTTCTAGATATTATTGTTTTCTTCATGTTGTCCCACTTCAGTGGATGCAGAAAACCTCTGTGTTCATTTCATCTAACCCAAAGTTTAGTAAACTCCATATGTTTACATTTTTCATAGTAGAACAGCTTTTTTTCTTGTGCAAGTTTCTTAAACAACAGAAATGGTTTAGGCGAGAAGGTGTTTTACATGTGAAGAGCGGTAGGCTACTTATCTGATTTACTTGGATGGCAGTATTTAGTTTGAGTGTGTGCTTCTTTGCAGCTAAAATTCACGTTTGTAGTAATAGTTTGTCTGTTGGCCAGTATTGCTTCTAAGCCAGTTTCCATGCTCAGGTAAAATCTCAACTCAATTCAACGTTTAGGAAAACACTGGAAACCTATTTAGCTTTTTTGGAATGCCCCAACATCAGTATGAATGTAAAAGGGCCAATTTACTTCAGCTTGTTGACTTTTTTTTATTCCCTCCAAGAGAAACCACAATCGGAAACATTGTTTTTTACAATAGTACAATTTATGTTTACAAGGGCTGTTGTTAGTCTTTATATTGCTGGTCAAGTACCAAGCAGCGGGACCACCTCATGGAACACGTTGCTGTTTTAAGCTGTTTTTCAAATCTGCTTGTTTTAACCTGAAACTTTTCATTTATGTGCTGATTCACCACATTAAGTTGCACTGCAGGTTCACAACCTCATGGACAAGGCAAATATATCTATATATATATATATATATATATATATATATATA